CCCCCCCCCCCCCCCCGCCCCACTGGCTGCTCAGGAATCCAGCAGCTGGGCGATCGCTCGCTGTCGCCGCCGAGCAGCAGTGCTTGGAGCGCGGGGGCCGGCCAGGCTCTCGCCGGCTGCGGCTGACCTGCTGGCATTGCCTTACATGGCTACATCCCCAGGACGGCGCAGCCCGTGCTCGCTCATCTGCTGGCGGGCTGCGAGCCCTTAGGCCTGATACCAGCTCTTGGCGTGGTCAGTCCAGGCTGGGGAACTGCCAGCGTCACCTCCATCCCTGGCAGGAGCGGGACACGGTGCCAGCGAGACGATGAGAGGCCTGCGCTCCCCCACCTCCCAGCCTTAAAGCGCAGGGGAACGGCCTGCAAGCACTGGCCTGCAAGCACGGTCCTGTCCCAGCACCGCGGGCAAATGGCCGTTTCGTGCTCTCCTCTCGCCCCCTGCGCATCTCCTGGCCGGAGAGCTACATCCAGGGGAGGGCAAAGGCGGGGGCAGCGGAGACCCCGCGGCACACAGTGCACAAGCCCACAGCCGCGATGCTGGAGGTGGACACGGCCCCCCCCCCGAGCCAGCTGGCCACCAAGCTCACCCACATGGAGACGCAGGTCTGCCCGGTGCCAAGCCAAACCCCAGCTGTCACCGTGCCGTTTGTCTTACGGGAGCAGCCGTGTGAGAAAGCTGCAGAGCAAACGTCGCCGTGTGCCCGGGGGCTGCCCGAGCCGCACGTGCTGCTCCGGGCCACGCAGTGCCGGCCCTCGCTGGCTGGGGAGTCACCTGGCCAGGCCCTGGGACACGTGCCAGCTCCGGCCACAGCCCTGCCGGCGTGCTCACTCCGGAGCCACCGCCCAACCCCGCGCTGTGTCCCCAGGCTGCACACATGGGACTGGGGCAGCACGGCCAGGAGGACCAGCAGCCTCGGCCGCCGGGCACCGGGAGCGGTGACCACGGCCACCGCAGCTGCTCCTGTACATGGGTGCCCACCGGAGGTACCGTGTCTCCGGTCACCGCATGGGTGCCTGGCAGCGTCCCGGCGTGCTGAGCTGGCCTGGCACCAGGGGCCACGCAGGGGACCCGCGCTGGCATCACGCTCCGTGGCCCTCGTTAAGGCACGGCGTGCTAACGAAGGCCCTTCCCCTCGTTGCCCCGGGTCCCAGGTCCGGGGCAGGAGCAGCGGTGGGGCAACCTCTGCCCCCCCCGGCCCCGAGCAGGGGCCGCGCCCTGCCAGCTCCGGAGCCGCGGGCA